CAAATATTTTTCTATTTTTGAGAATCTACACTGTACATTAAAAACATACACAAGCATCTTTGGGAATAAAAGGATAGCAAACAATTACTAGCAATTTGCTTGGCCAAATATGTAATTCAGGCAACGTAATTAGAAAGCCGTGTTTGCAAAACTGATCTGCTAAGTACAGCACTGAAAATTCCTGATTTTGGGAATAACACTGTTGGGTCACTGAGGGCATGTCATGGTCTTTGTTCTCAAATAATGTTGTGTGTGTTTTTTTTCTGGAATTTACTACAGTAAATATGGTTCTTGTTGACAGCTCAGTACATGACTCTTAGCCAACTGTTACCGTAAGCCACTTAGCAGCTATTTGACGCCATAAAAAGACTCAAATTTAGAGTAGTGTGAAAACACCAGTCTACATTCTAGAATAACTTCATTTTGAAAAAGCAGCGAAATCCTAAACAATTTATTGTACTGTGTTGTTCACTAATGGTTTCATCCACTCCTCATAAACCTTCAAAGATACAAGTCCTTTAACATGAATAAACAGAACATCTGTTCATAATGTACTGCAAATATTCACCAGAGCATCTTTATGGAAGAAACATATGAGAATTGACACTTGGATACAAATGAAAAGAACTCTAAAAATAGATACAGGAATTGTATTTAGCTAGATCTTAGGCACCTCTAGAACACAGGGCAGTTGCATTTTTTCAAGTTTCAAGTGTATTTGTGAAATTGAGTATACTGATGCCTTTAGAAGTGAGAGGTTGGCCATATTACCAATTTTATTGTTTCATTTTATATAACCAGTGTTACAATTTTTAAATACTAAAATAAAAATAGTTTACTCATGGTTTTCCCGCTGACTGTAATTGAACATTTCTTGCACGTCTGCATTTTCTTAAACTAATTGAAGACTTTGAAAGTGTACATATTTAATAATAATTATTAATAAAATATTAAACAGCATTGTCCCATAATACTGTCATAAATGCTGAAATGAACTGCCTAAGTGAATTGAGCCAGGAGAAAAATGTTTGTATGTGGTGAGAATACTTTGGAATGTAATTCTTTCCTTGATTTGAACACTTCCATTCACTACAGGAAAGCTCTTCCTTTCAGGAATTCTTGATGAATTCCTAAGTTTTTCTTGTGAAACTTAACAGTGAGTTGGTTCATTAAAAAACAATAGTAGTAATAGTTACCTTGCTGTGGAAAGATCTTGAATTGAAGAATTCATATTTACTTTAAATGCCTGACATTTAATTAAACTTTTTAAGGTTGTTTTTTTTTTTTCAGAGGAAATTTCTAATTATTTCTAAGAAATTTTCCATTACCAGCTTAAAACTCCTACACAAAAATGTATCATGAAATAACACATTCATTTATGCTTGTTGTTAAGGTAACAGTTTTATCAGAATAGCAGAAATAAAATTCTTAGTTTGTTAAGCTAAGATAAACAGAAATTCTGCTAAAACACTAATTATCTTGCATTATTATGGGATTTAATACATTCCAAAAATAGAAAAAAATACACAGACGTTACTCTCGTCTTGTAATATAGCATAGCTGTCCTTTAAAGAATATACTGGTAGACAAATATTTGCAAATTCAGTAAGTATGTTTACAAGGTAGAGTCTTCCAACCTGAGCTGTCAGTTAACACATACTCAAGATTCCTGTTAACAGGGACAAACACCTTTGAACAGTGATAACTGATTTCTGCTTCCCTCTCTCTCTCCCTCCCTCCTTCTCTCCCTTTATTCCATCCATCCATCCTTTCATCCATCCCTATCTTATTTCTCTCTGACTATTAACTCTCAGTTCCTAACATCAGTCATTTTTATATCAACCTGTTCTGGTGGCTGAAACAGATTATGTATGGAATAAGCATGAATGGTACTCAGGTCAAAATGTGTGAAAATTTCAAAGGTTTTAATAACACAGTGGAAAAAGTATCTTTAGTTGGTGTTAGCATTAGCTGAGGAGTGAAAATGTATGCACTAATTTGCACAGCAATTGCAGCACAGCCTCTCCTGCCAGCACCAGGCTGCACGTGGTTACAGCATAGCATAAACCTTACAGAGCAAACAGTGCAGAAACCTCAAGACTGGTAAACTGTTTTTCTGTGGGTTTTGCTAAGTAGTACAGAGAGAGAGAAGCTTACGAGAGCAATATAATCCTGGTCCACTATTTATTAAACGGGGAGGTTGTGATACCTTTAAATGACATTGAATCTTTCAGATGACTGATTTAAAAAGTTATCATTCTAATAGCTGGTAAAACTTGCAGGAAATCAAAATAAATAATAAGAAATACTGGGAGTTATTAGAATTTGTCCATTTTATTCCTATTAAAGATCTAGCTAAAAGGAACTCTTCTGTATTTTGGCTTCTTATTCTGAACATTTGAATAGGTGATGGCTTTGAAGATGCCATCTCAAGTATTGCACAGTTAGCATAAACAATTTAAAAATATTCTGCTCCTGTAACAGATCTTGAAATGCCTCATTTAATGGCGTATGGTGTTTAGAGCCAAACTATTCAAAAAAACCTGCAAGCCTGTATATTTTCATTATTTGGTAATGTAAAATCTGTCTTTTACTGTTTTAATAATGACTGAAAAATAGCTTGCAGAAAATAATATGACCTTGGAATTTGCTTCAGACTGCACCTCCAAAGATGGCCCTTGAGGGTGGAAGGGGTAAAGCTCAAATTACTGGCTTGGCAAGAGTTGAATTTACAGGCAAATGTTGCCAAGTAACTTTTTATTGCACCTACTTTTCTGAAATATTGTATATATTTTGGATACATCGGTAACAATTTTCTTCTAACTTCTAAAATATTTTTTGCCTTTCTAAATGTGGGGTCTGGAGATTTTGTTTGGGAATCTTTTAGGCCCTGAGAGTACTTGCTTGTCCTGATATCGGGTTGTCACAGTTATGTAGTTTAGTATTCTTTTGATTGTTTTCAGCAAATATTACCCCCCAATCAATGTTCTAATCATTCACTTGATGATTTTATTATAGCTGTGCATATGGAATGTCATTTTTAAAGACTAGTGATCTAATGTTTTATTCAGCCTACCCCAGGAAATCTGATGTAAAACTGTATTAAGGTAACGTGGATACCACTGCACATGGCATTTACTGACTTCTGAGTCAACGTTCTGAAACTGTCCGTAGACTTGTATATATGGTAGCTGGATTTTTTTTTCCTGTTTAAACATTCCTAATAGGAGTTTATTACTTTTCAGAAGCTTGAGAGCAGTACAGAACACATTCAGTTCTCGTATTTAGTTCCATCCCCATTTCAGTTATGGACCCTATTGCTATAATTAACTTTGTATTCCGTATACCTTGGGAGTGTTCTGTTTTCTTCTCCTTTCTAGCACATTCCCCAAGGTAACACAAAATAATAACATGCCATATGGCAAATGGAATCAGTTGAAATACCAGACAGTGTCTTCTATCATGTACATTTTACAATATGACATTCCCGAGTTTGTAACTGATGCATATTGCATCACCTAAAAACTCCAACTGTGTGAAGCTGCTTCTCCCATTACCGGCATCCTTGCCGATACTCTGAACCTTTTAATTTTTTTTAACAAAAGTGCAGCAGCTGCCATTTTCTGGGAATCAACAGCTTACAAAGGAAGTGGCAGAATGTCTTAATGTGTGGTAATCTTATCAACCTGCAAAAAGTGCAGTATTTTAGCATCAACAAAATATTTGCAAAATCATGAAGCGTGCCATATGTGATTGCTGTGATGCAACAGTAATAATGTAGAGTTCCTGAGGATCACAGGATGTGTTATTTAGGTAGCACTGTTGCACTTTTAAACAGTGCTGTCCGAAGGCATTAGGTGTAGTTCTACGGAAGTGAAACATAAGCATTGTCATAGGCATTGTAGGTAGGCTAAAGCAATTCTCCCAAAGGGCCAAACTCAACAAGGACTTGTATTTAGTGGATGTACTCAACACGTGTGATAAGCTGATGTCACTTGGGAATGTGAAGCCCTGTAAGTAAACCATGTATTAATAGCTGACGTGTTGGTTCATCTCTCATTGGCTTTAGTTTTGTAAGCAGGAGGGAGAGGTGCAGATAAAATAGATAGGCAAATGATGGATATGTAGTGCTTAGTTGTGAGTATACCATTTCATCTTACATTTGTGGCAAATGTAATTTCAGTTCATTCTGGAAATAAGCTATATTGAAAAAGTTAAGAGAGCATTTCTGTCACAAGCAGCTGAGAGGCCTTGTGTAGCTACGGTTCCCGTAGTTTCCTTCCTGCCTTGTTGTAAAGACAATGTACTTTCTCCATCACATTTATTTCTACCACTGTGTCATGACAAGTGGCAAAGCAACTTTTCCCCACAGTAAGGGGAATAGAAGAGCAAAGGATGAATTGTTGTTCACTGTTTGTGCAGCTTTGCTCCTTGGTAAATATATTTTTACTTTCCTTCAGTCATGCTTGAGAACTAAGCAAAAGCTCTAAATGAACACTTTCTGTGCCATCAGTGTAAGAAGGTAGAGATAGTTTGGAATGTGGTTGCTTTGTTTCAGTGTCTTATGTAATGCCCAAAAAAATCTGTACTAGGATAGCGTAAGTTAAGGTTTTAGAACTTGGAGCTGCGTGGTTGAGAAACAATTATGACACACAGCACAACTCTCTTTTTTGTACAAATATTACTTGTTTGTCTTTCTGTATCAAATTGTAACATGTTTTATTTAAACAAAGTAAAATGGAATATGGTAAAAGGATTTTATTAAAAAATGTCAAATACCAGGATAGTAAGTATTTGCATGGAGTGTAATGGCAATTTGTCTCAAAAAGGAAATTAATTGTTTGAGTGGGTGTAAGAAGGGTATGCGTGTGTATTTATACATATATCCATGGATACATATAGCAGTAACTCTCAGAAATACTAGAAAGGAAAATAAGCAAAAACTATTTCAAGTAATTTGTACAATTTATACTTTATAGAGAATCACCTGAGTTCCTTACCTGAATTTTCACAAACTGCTCTGTCTTTTCATCCTTAATTTCTCTTTCTTGCTTATCTGCATCTTATCCACTGCCATTCTCAATGGATTGCTTGTCTCCTTGTCACATATTAAACCAGTGCAGACTGCATATTGAGAAACCTGCATTGACAAATATCCATGAGTTACGTACTGGTAAATGAAAGACTTATTTTTACTGCTCTTCTGTTTTCCGTAAAAACAGAGATAAAGCAAAGAGAAACTTGGGTCACGTTCTGAAGTAATAATGTTTGTACATGTGAATACTGCCAAATTTCTGCATTGCTTGTAACTTAAATTCATGCACAGAATCTGTTAATGTTTCTTTTTTTTTTTTTTTTTGAAAACGTGGCAACAAGAATGCATAGATATATTATAAATATCTGGCAAGTTGTTCTTTGGAAGTACAAGAAACACCTTCAGAGCATTTATGTGTTTACTTTTAAGCCTACTCTGGAAGTTTAAAACAAGGTGTCTTATCCAAGGCACCTCTTAATTCTGGTCACAATTGCAGGAATTATTCTTACTCTGTTTACTTTCTTTTACCATTATTTTCTTTTTTTCCTAGAACTTATTTCCTGACTTTTCCCTAATTCCTAACAATTGCTCCATCTTTTATATCTCTTTTCCCCGTCTTTGTTTCTGAATGGACAATCAGACCATCAAGAGTTTATAAATAAAGATTGCATTGTTCTATTTTATGAACTTTGCTATTCCCAGCATTCACCAATTTCTAATCCTCTGAATTCCTTAATTAAATCCAAGATAGTTATAAACACCATTATGGGGAATTTGATCACAAATACTTGAAATGACATTTTTGTCATAAAAATACCAAAAATAATTAACTCCCCTGGGATGTTTAATAAAAACTGAAATGTGAGCATATACAAGGGTGCCACAGAATTTTAATTGAATTTAAGTGCAGACTCTTAGGACGTATCTTGTAAAATGAAAAGCTTATCTTTAAAATAATTTCTATATTCACAGGGAACCTATTTGCTTGAAAAGGACAACAGATGTTGTCTACACAAAGACAGAAAGTACAGAAATACCTAAGATAGCTTCCTTTAAATGATAAAAATAGTTGTCATTCCATCTGAAAGACTGCATGAGACTCTGTGTAAGCCTGCCTGCCAGAGGGCGTGGACTGGCAGCCTTCTGAGGCTTGAAGACACAGAGATAAAGTGGGCAGAGCCCAGCATCAAAGATGACCTTAGATAGGTTGATAAGAGCAATTTGGTCCCACAATTCCCACTGTTATTACAAAAAGGCTTTACATGTAACAAACATCAACATCAGAATTCTCTTTTGCTATGTAATCATTAGCATAATGATTAAAGATCATTCGTATCATTTATTGCAGAGTTCTGTGATTAATCACATCCTAACTTTAAGATGTTTAGCATACATTTTCACAGAGCACAACAAATTTTATTAAGGTGCCCTGCTTTTCACAGAGAAGATATTAAATGCTGATTGTTTGTTATTTGCCAGGAAATACCTGCAATACACAAAATACAATGTTTTCTGTGATTTTTTTTTTTGCAGGAACCATCTGTCATGTCTCCACTTTCACTGTACTGAGGAAGGCAGATGCTGAAGGTAAGCAGCACATTTACTTTTGACAATGGCTAGAGCCTCTAGCCATTACATTTACCTAGCTTTAGAGCAAACATGCTGGAGAAGTGGCTACCTATTGTGATTCTAGTGCACTGGGACCAACTATGACTACTTGTGATAGCAAATCTCCTAAAGTCCTGAGGAAATTTGTTTTATAGATCTTGTCAGGAGAGCATATACAAACACAGTTCCAGCTGGGAACTGGAACAAAGAAGTGAAACTTCAGGCTAGAAAAGTATCAGGATAAGTTCAAGTATGAATTTGCCCCTTCTCCTTCCTTTATTCCAGTAGAAAATTATACTGAAAACTGTTTTTCTCTAATGATTATAGAAGACTGAAATTATGCACAGCAGGTAGAAACATCCGGCACAGTTTTCAAAAGATATTGCATATTCATGCATTTTCCAGTGCTAACAGCTAACTACTGCAAGAGCAAAGGCTGTAAGCTCTGCTGCTTTTCATTCTCTGCCCATTTTACTTTTTAAAATTCTGGCATCAAATTCTGGGGGCTGTATACTCTACTCTCTGTTATTCTTACCATCGCTCTTAGGATGAAGAAAAATATTTAACATGCCAAATCATTTTGACTTTGAATCAGATTGCAACAAATTGGTACACAATTTTTGAGAAAGTGAAAAGGGATATTTCTTCACTAAAACACATGAATCCCTTGTTATAATCTTTCATATTGCACGAAGAGAGGGCTGTGCAATATGAATGTACCTAGCGCATATTTCAGGAGCAAAATATAAACACTGGCAGCAAAGGGCACTTTATGCAAATATGTTTTCTGAATGATGGCTTTGCCTCCCTGATGATTCTGGCAAGACATAATAATTTGGAAAAATAACTGGAGTGCCCTGCCCTTTGGCTCTTTTCTCCAGGGTGCTTACATCCCCTTATAAATAGAATTATGACAAAACAAAATGTACATTTGGGTGGGAGTTTCTTTGAAAATACAATAAATATATAACTGTGGAAAACAGTAGAGATAAAGCAGATCTATAAAGGACATCTTTTGGAAGAGAAAACAGACCATCGTGCCTAACTTTATATTGCACTCATTTTCCTTTTACAGCCCACCTGTCATTCTTGTTATCTTTGCCTAGAAAAGAATTTACAGTCTTAGAATTTAAGTCTCTGCTTCAATTGGTTTCCATGGTAACTTGGTTCTGTTTTAAAACCTCTATATAAAATTGAATTGGTTAAAATGTTAATGCTGGAATGGCTGCCTATACCTCAATTACACCTTTTTCACTATTCAACAACATTCAGTTAGGGGTGTCCCTCCATCTGCTCTAGTTTCTTTACCTCCTACAACACTGTCTCACTAAGCAAATCAATCAGTTCTTATTGCACGCACAGAATTTGAGTACTGACCAGTGGTAACATATTGCATCCTGTGAAGTACAGAATAAGGCATGTTAAGTTCTGGCGACTTGAGCTCACTAGGAAAGGGTCCTTGTGAGTACAGTAACCACACTAGGGCTGAAAGCCCCAAGGACAGTACTATCTCTTAAAAGATAGCAGAAGAACCAGAAGAAGTACAGGATCTCCCTTCTAGAAAATGCTATTCATTAAGGTAGAAGAATTTCCCCTTCAGTCCAGATCAAGGCGAAATAAAAGGTTAGAAAAGCAAATGAGAGTTTTAATTGGTTTTAAGAATCCTATGATGATTTTCTATCACTGCGGTTATGAATATTTTATCCAGCCTTTTGTTATTCTGTATCTTAGATTCAAGCTTTTCTCATGCACTCGTAGTTTCTGATTCTCTGGACTAGTTTGACTTTGTGATGATAATTCTGGTTACTGGTCTCAAATCTCAGCTAGGAAAAAAATCAATATTTTTTATCTAACTTAAATACTTCAGGGATAATACAAGTTACAGTTGTAAGGAAATCTTTAAAGAATTTCTAACATGGAGATGATACAGCTCTTCAACAATTATTCTGAAAACTTAATGATTTCATAAAGGATGATGCCTTACCTGTATAATTAAAAGTTCTTAAAATTCTATACTAGATTTGCTTTTCTGAGTTGTATTGGGTACCTACCTATTTGTATAGAAAATTTTTGTTCCATAGAGGCACAAATAGAATTAATGAAAAATACTTTTTCACTGCGTATGTGCCATGCAGACATGCCAAAAGCTACTGAATGTGTGTACACACCTGTTCATTTACAGCTGAGATTGTCTAAACACTTGGTAAAGATCTCAGGTTTTGCTATGTGACAAAAAGGTTATTTTCCTGTGATAAGTGATTGTCCAGCTGGTCCTATTACATGTCTTAAATACAAATTCATGTACAAAACAAATTCATGTTTGCAGTGTTTTGTAATCCGGCTAGTATCAGAGTTTGCACTTAACTACACACTATTGCTCAGTGTCTCTCGTGTCTTTACCTCCTTTCTCAATAGCATTACTATGCAAATTATATGCATGCTATATCTTTTATATGGGTTTACTTTTGTATTGACTAGATTTTGATTGTCAAATACTTGTTCATCTAGATAATAGAAACACCTTGAAATTCAATGACAATTCTAGACGAGAAAGTCAATGTTTTTGTCCTATGCCAAACAATGTAAGTTTTCTGGAAACTGGATTTAGGCTCTACCTAAAATTCCTACCAAAATAACTTGAAAAAACAAACATTTTTTCCACCTCTTTGTAGCACATTTTTAACAGGTAGCCTCATTTACTCCACATGTTCTAACACTGTCCTATAGACGTTAATTTCTGAGAACGGGGCATTGTCGAATTAGGGTATCATAAATTCACTGCATTCCTCTCACCAATCTTGGCATTAGGATCTTTACAGTACTCCCACATGTCAGTAAAGTATGACCTTCTCTCACAGATTTGTGTGGACAATGCTTAAGTGAACTGTGCTTTTCGAACGGGCATTTTTACGTTCACAGTGTGATTTTTTTCAGTAGCTGACACGCAACCAACATGTCTCCAGTTTCCGTATGAAATAATAACTAACATCTGATGCTTAATCGAATGAAAAAATAAATAGAAGTTCCTTATTTTTTTATTCTTTCAGCCTTTTCAAATTCAGTTGAAAAATTAAATATGCTTACACTTTCCACATTGTTTTCTTTTAATTTCTATTCACAATCCTTATTATGAAAAGTGGACTGATCCTGATACCATTGTATCATTAATAATTTCATTCTGATGCTAATTGTTGCCACATAATACAATGGTTTGATGTAAAACTGATTATGCTATGTATTTTGCATGTTGAGATAGGAAATTACTTGTCAGGAATGGTCTTTAATATGGTTTTCATTGTATTCAACTAACCTGCTAATTACTGTGTGTTGCAACAGGCAACATTTTCTTTTGCCCTGAATATTGTTCACATGTACAGCAGAGTAATTGTTAGCTGCAAAATCATCACAAATATATCGTTTGAAGTTTCTGTCTTTTTAGGTAGTTTATGAAATACTGCTCAGTTACAAGGTGGGAGGTTATTTATTAATCTTTGACT